GACCTGGCAAGTCCTACCATTCCTCCACATCTTTGTACAGGCTGTCCTTTTATCTGGAAAGCTCTTCTCCCTGCCGTCGTCCTCAAAGATCTGGTGTCAGCTTCACCTCCTCTAGGAGACCTGCCCTCACCAACCAGGTATTCACGTCTACCTGAATTTTCTGTAATGAAAACAATCCCACTTTCTGCAGCCCACCCTCCAGGGACCCACGCCTCAGCCTTGACTCCTCCTCACTGTGTGTCCCTAGTCCTTCTGAGTTTCAGTTTCTCTTTTGGTTCCTCCCCATTCAGGGCATCCCACCTGTGATTCCTTACCTCATGGGTTATTATGAGAACCAGACACATTGAAAGGAGAGGCCAGGGTTAAGAACAAATGGACAGGACAGGCCTGGGTTCAAATTCTGTTTCCCCTAACCATCTGCATGACCTTGGGCCAGGCACCTCCTGTCTCCCAGCTGACAGTTCCCCACCGGAGAGCTGGAAATCTAGCAGCACTACCAGGGTGGCTGGGAGGATTCATGGAGTTGTGGAAGGTACAGTGCTTAAAAGAGCACCTGGCACGTGGACAGCTCCCTGTGGGTGTCAGTCATGATGGTTAAACCAGGTAGAGAAAGGACTGGTAAATTCTAACGTGTTGTGGAAGTGAGAGGTAGTCTCATGATTTCCCCGGAGACTTGCACAAATCCCTAGGTAGGAAAAAGCCCCATTCCTGCTCACCATCAGCTGGGGTCACTAAACTCAGGGCTCCTCTCCTTTTCTGGAGACAGGTAGTTAAACACCCATCCCAGGCCCTGCTTACAGCAATTGGGATTCTGTGGGTCTTGTTGCCCCCAAATCTGCTAAGTGCCCCAGGGAGTCTGGAGACGGTGTGGGAATCCACACTGAGACACGATCATGTGCCCCACTGTGCCCTCCCACCGAAGCTGTGTCTCTGTGGCTGGGTGGCGAGGCTCGGCCCCTGGGTGCTCTGCCAGCAACGCCTGAAGCCTGGAGCAGCTGCTCTAATTCATGCAAAGGAAGGCGCCCAGGTTTGCCCTGTCTATTTATAGCTTATTTATGAGGAAGGAAAAACAAGGGCCCAGTTGCCTTAGCAACCAGGAGCATCATGGGCTGCTTTCTCTGCAGTGGGAAATTGGCCAAGTCTCCTTGTGGGGGGCACCCCTGGATGTGTGTGTGTGTGTGTGTATCCTGACAGAGGACAGGAGTGAAACTTCTAAGACCTATCCCATGCTGGATTCCTAGCAGCCTACAGGTTGCGGGGAGGGAGCTTGCCAGGCCCTTGGAAACCCCTCCCCGATGCAGAGGGCCATGCACAGCTGAATTCTCTGTGGAAAGGCACACTCTGGTCTCTTGGTCTCAGTGCTGACTCCTGTCCTCTGGGTGCCCTCCCTGCTGCCTCAGACCCTCTCGGGAGCTCTTTCCTGGCTGTGCTCTGGTACATGTCCCTTAGGGCACTTAGGGCAGGGAACTGAAGTTAGTTTCCAGACCAGCGCCCCTTAAGGCTGTGGTCTGGCCCCAGAGCCTGGTACCGAGGAGGGGCTTAATAAATACTGAATGAAAGAATGAATGAATGAATGAAGTGCTTTCATTTATGGTGTGTCTCCTTACTCAGTATGCACAAGGTAAGGGACACACTGTATGTAATGTAATGTTCTCTCATTTTACAGACCAGAAAACTGAGATTCAGACAGATGAAGAGACCAGCCTACAATCACACAGCTGGGAAATAGCCGGGCTGGATGAGAGTCCTTGAGGAGGAAACCTTGCTTTTGCTCTGGCAAAGCCCCAGGGAACACGGGAACTTGGGTTTCAGCTGGGCCATAATTGTTGGGCGCCAGGGAAGGGCAACGTGGTGCTGTGACTGGTCTGGGGCTGAGAGGCATGTGGTTTGAATTTTAACTCTGCCACTTATCAGCTGTGTGACCTTGAATCATTGACTTTCCCTCTGTGGGCCTCCGTTGCTTCATCTGTAAAGTGGGGCAATGATGCCTGGTTCTTGGGACTGGTAGCTTCCGGAGGGCAGGCACCGTGTCTGTCTCTTGATCATCTGTTTTCCCGGTGTTGGCACAATCTTAGGTGCCTAAGATGATCATGAGCTCCTGTATATAAAGTAGATTGGGTGCTCTCAGGGAAGGTGAGTTGTTACTCCATTATTAGGGAACCGAGGCACAGAGAGCTTGGTGGTTCCCCTGAGATCACACAGCCAAATCCAGAGCAGAGGTGGTGGGTTTACTGGTCTGTCAGGTTTGCCTGGGGCAAACCATTGCTGGGGATTAAGTGGGACTGTGTCCGGGCCCTGGGGAGGGCATTCTGGACTGGGCTGCCGCCCCAGGGGGAAGGAGTCATGTTGGACAGAGAGGCTGAAGCAGGGGGTCTCTGAGCACCGGGGACCTAGAGCTGCAGGTACTGAGCTGGAGGTACTGAGGACCGGTCCTAGGCTGTGTGGAGTTTGCCTGGCTTTGGGCTGGGCTTCTGAAGGTCCAGGCCCAGGCTGCCTGGAGGCTCTCTGTCGCCCTCTGCTGGGCCACCTCCGGAGGCTCGAAGACCGGCAGTGCCACCTCTTCAGTTGTCTGGGTGTGAAACCCATACATACCTAAAGGGATCCAGGTAAGAAGAGGAATGCCCGGGGACAAACCGAGATCACTGATCATTTCCACATCCTTCCCTGGCTCCTCCCGCTCCCACCCAGACGCTGTGGCAAAACACAGGCGCCCTGCCCCCACCTTACCGGGGGCTGCAGGCTGCTGTGCTTCCTTGGCTGCCATCAGATTCATCACTGTTTCCTGAAAACAATGCGCACCCAGGGTTTTTTGTCTGGTTTTGTTTGTTCCATACCCCAAGCCCTCACTCATATTCTGTCCCTCCTGCCTTCTCATTCCATGAGTGCGCTCTGTCCTTCTGAGCCTCTAGGCTTCTGGGGGCTTCTCTTCTCCCCGCAACAATTTCATGGTTTTGGAGGCTAAAGTCTGAAATCAAGGTGTTGGCAAGATTAGCTCCTTCTGAGGGCTGTGCCAGGCCTCTCGCCTGGTAGGTCTGGCGGCTTGCTGCCAATCATTGGCGTTCCTTGGCATGGAGAAGCATCACCCCATCTCTGCCTTCATGTCCACATAGCTCTCGCTGTGTGAATGTCTGTCGGCAAATTTCCCCTTTTTATAAGGACAATAGTCATACGGGATTAGGATCTACCGTAATGACCTCATTTTAACTCGATCGCCTCTGTAAAGCCCTATCTCCAAATAAGGTCACATTCTGAGGTACTGGGGTTGTGCCTTCAACATGAGAATTTTAGCGTGGCACAATTCAGCCCCGAACACGAGGAGAAGAAGTACATCCGGTCCATCTTGTGTTCATTCCTTTGGGGCTGAACCCAGTACAGGAGTGAGAGAGTTTGATGAATGTTATAGAAGAAGTTCTTCATCCTCAGATTATTTGCTGACCCCCACAGTGCCCAGGGCATATCAAACTATGACCTGTCCTGTCTAGGTCTTATGGACATGAGTCTCTGTCATCAGGAAATGGACTTCTCTAGAGCAGAGCCTAGATCTTCTTACTTTTGACATTCACCAAAGGAGACACTCAGACTTTTTCATCAGTAGATTCCTGTGGAAGCAGGTAGGTGAGGCTTTACTTTCCTAATTCTGCACAAAAGACCCAGAAAAGTAATGAAAGAGAATTTAACTTTTGACAAATATTTATTGAACACACAGTTGTGACAGACTCTGTAACTTCATTCCACCATTACTGAGGCTGTTGCTTCCTTGCTATGTAATGAATGTATTAACATTAATAACTATTTATTGAAAAGCTGCTATATGCCTGGGATACACGCTTTTCATGGACAATTTTCAATTCTCACAGCAGCCTTTTACAAATGGAAATAAAATGAACCTAACATAAAGTTCACCATTTAAAAATGTGCAGTTCAGTGGGTTTTAGTTTATTCACATTGTCATGTAACCATTACCACAGCCTAATTCCAGAACATTTTCATCACCTCAAAAAGAGACTTCGTGCCCATCGGTCACTCTCCATTTTTTCCTCCCCCGATTTCCTAGCAACCACGAATCTAGTTTCTGACTGTATGGATTTGCCTAGTATGGATTTCAGAGAAATGGAACCATACTATACTCTTTTTTGTTTTTTTTGTGTGCCTAGTGTCTTTCACTTAGCATGATATTTTCAAGGTTCACTCCTGTTGTAGCATGTATCAATGCTGCCTTCCTTTTTATGGCCAAACAATATTCTGTTGTATGGATGTACCACATTTTGCTTATCCATTCATCAGCTGATGGACATTTGGGTTGTTTCCATTATTTGGTTATGCTGAATAATGCTGCTATGAATATCTATGTACAAGTTTTTGTGAACATATGCTTTTGATTCTCTTGGGTATATACTTTAGAGACAAATTGCTGGGTCTATGTTTAACTTTCTGGGGAACTACCAAATGGTTTCCCACCAGACATGTATGAGGGTTCCAGGTTCCCCACGTCACCACCAACTCTTGTTATTTTCTGTCTTTTTTGATTATAGCCATCCTAGTGGGTGTGCACTGGTATCGCATTGTGGTTTTGATTTGCATTTCCCTAATGACTAGTGATGTTGAGCATCTTCTCATCTTCTTTTCACAGAAGCCTTTTGAGGCAGCTCTTCTCTCCATTTAGCGGCAGGGGAAAGAGATTGAGAGTTGAGAGGACTTGCTCAGTGCAAGGAGGCGGTGGGGCTGTGCCTGGAACTTGGTCGTGTCTGTCTCCTAATCCCCATGGAATCTAATTAACAGCAGAAACAGTTCTGGTCTGGTGCACAGGAGTCTGGTCTCCCATGCGACCAACTTGGACAAGTCCTTTCTCCGCTCCGGGCGTTAGTTACTCCTCCGCGCCACTTGGGGCGAAATACTCCAAGCATGTGTGGGCTCCTCTAGGAGCCCATAACTCTAAGATTAATGGCCCTGGCGCGGAGTTTGCCCCGCCCCTCCAGCCCAGGTCGCCGCAGGCGCCGGAAGTGCTCGGCTCTCTTTGCTCACTTCTGCCGGCTCTCCGGCGGAAATACTTTCTCGGGAAGATGGCGGCTGTGTCAGTCTACGAGCGGCCGATTGGAGGTTTCTCTTTTGATAACTGTCGCAGGTGCGGCCATGCCCGGGGCCAGGTTCCGGGCGGGAGTGGGAGTGCGGTGCCGGGGTCGGAGCTGGGCCGCGGTCTGATCTGGGAAGTCCAAACGAAGGGTGAACGGCGGGGCCTGAGGCCTGTGCCCCGCGTCCCGTGTGACTCAGGGGAATGAGGGCCTGACAGTGGGTTTCTCTTGAGGCCGAGCCCGCCCTTCCCCTTGCCCAGCGCATCATACCAGTCTCCGTCTCTGTCTCCTGAGGCGAGATGCAGCCCCTCTGCGACGCTCTGCACGCCCAAGAACGCGACAGTAGTCCTGGCCTTGGGGGGATTCAGTGAACGGATGGGCTTGAAAGCGAATAGTAGCTTTTCTTTTCCCGAGTTCCCTATTAGACGCTCTTGGTGCCAGTGCCGCGCCATGTGGTCCTGCCCTTCCATGCTTCATTCTCTGCTTTTCTTTCAGAAATGCCGTCTTGGAAGCCGATTTTGCGAAGAGAGGGTACAAGCTTCCAGCGGCGCGGAAAACTGGCACGACCATCGCGGGGGTGGTCTATAAGGTAAGCGGGCACAGGCCAGGAGCAGCAGTGACTGAACTGATGACAGGAACCAGGCCACTTGGCCTCCTTTTACTTCTCCGAGCTCTGTCAGGAAGGGTTCATGTTTCAGAATACGTCGGGAAAGGTCCTTCAGGATTTGTCGGGAGGTTTTGTGTGCTTATCAACAGTTTATATTCTTTCCTCACTTTTTAGAATTTTTGACAGGAGATAAGTACTTTTCTGTCTTGAGATACTACGTTGGGAACCGGGGATATATGCTGGGAAAACACAAGATTTCGGATCAGACAGGTCTAACCATTTAGCTTTGATGCTGCTTCCAACTTCGGGCAAGTCACTTTCCTTCTCACAGCCACACTTCACCGTCCATCAAATGGACCGAATAACTCCTGCCTTGAATTGTTGAAAGGGTCCAGAGAAATAATGGTTATTGTTGTTAAAGAGTGATGTCTTTTAAAAAGAAATCGACCGAGGTGGCTCTTCTAATGGGAGGATTTCTGCATTTTAATCCAGACATTTCTCATATTAGGTCTGTGATTTGTAAGGAATTCACTAAATTTGTGAGCCTCATTTGAAAACAGGAATGATAATTCGTACCACCTACTTGGCATTCAACCTATAACGTTAATTAACAAGGCTTTTCTTGAATTTTGAAAGTATAGCACAGTATTTTTGGTAGGAGTTTCAGTGCGGGGTGGAGGTTTGGGGAAAACACGGGATGGCCAACATTGTTTTTCCTAAACTAGAGTAGAGAGCTGTGGTTTATATATGTGAAATTGTTTTAAATGTATGTTTTTTTAAAAATAGGATGGCATAGTTCTTGGAGCAGATACAAGGGCAACTGAAGGGATGGTTGTTGCGGACAAGAACTGTTCAAAAATACACTTCATATCTCCTAACATTTAGTAAGTATCAATTAGTTTCAATAGCTCATATTTTCAAACATGTCAGGGTTAAAATGGAATTTACTTTGTTCATCACTAAAACCTGTTGTTTAACTTGTATTTTCTGTTTTATCTCTCTTAAGTGATATTTTCATCTGCCTGTCACCTAAGCTGGTCATCCGCAAGTTCTCCTTTGCTTTAATTCTTTTAGTCTTTAATTCTCTTGGTCTCCAGTTCTGCTTTCTGTGTGCCTCTTGAAACCATTCCCTCCGCTAAAGCCTTAGTTCACATTCTTGTTTCTCATCTGGACTATTGCAGTTATCATTTAAATGATCTCTCTGCCTTTGGTCTCTTTATTTTTTATTTTTTTTAAGATTTATTTATTTATTTTGAGAGAGAGAGAGAGAGAGTACATGAGAGCGGGGAGGGTTAGAGGGAGAAGCAGGCCCCTCGCCAAGCAGGGAGCCCGATGCGGGACTCGATCCCGGGACTCCAGGATCATGACCTGAGCCGAAGGCAGTTGCTTAACCACCTGAGCCACCCAGGCATCCCTTTGGTCTCTTTATTATCTGCCCTTTTGCCATATTGGATTTTGCAAAACACAGATCTGATTATGTTCCTTTCCTCTTTAAAAATATTTCTTTTCTTTAACATGATTATGCTTTTTTTTTAAGATTATTTATTTATTTATTTGAGAGAGAGAGAGAGAGAGAGAGCACGAGAGGGGAGAGGTCAGAGGGAGAAACAGACTCCCCGCTAAGCAGGGAGCCCGATGTGGGACTCGATCCTGGGACTCCAGGATCACGACCTGAGCTGAAGGCAGTTGCTTAAACAGCTGAGCCACCCAGGTGCCCTAAAAATATTTCAAAAGACTTCTCACATTTCCACACTGCTTTCAGAATAAAATTGGAACTCTGTAGCATGATATTTAAGATCTTGCCCAGTGTCAGAAAAATTTACCTTTTCACCTTATTTAGCTGCCATCCCCCTGTGTTCCAATTACACCCAGACTGTTCCTGTTCCTCTCATCTCCAAGCTCTTTCACCTTCGCTTTTGCCAGTCCCTCTGCCTAGAATTACCCTTTCCTTTTTGTTTATACGGTGTTGTTTTATTCTTTCAAATCCAGCTCATGTGAGACCGCTTCTCTAAGATCAGAATTAATTGCTGTCTCCTCCTGTTTCCCATAGCGTTTTGTACCTCTGCTACTATATTGTATTATACGAGGTGTTAGATCTTTTTGCCTACTTTTGTCTCCTTCACTCAACTTTGAAATCAAGTGCTAGGATTGTGTCATATTTTCTTTATTCTCAGCACTTTGTCATGACTGGTACCTGGTAGTAAATATTTGGTAAATGTTAAATTGCAAGGCTTTTAACATGCCTTGCTCTTTGGTACAACTTGAATATATTTTTAGGATTAGTAAAATGCAGACTCTGTTAGAAGCACAGAAGCTAATGATTTGAAATGTTCTATTGGGCCACAGAAAATATGATTACATAGGACTAGATGCATATTCTCAGTTTTATGTTTATTTAAGATTGGTTAGACAGGGTAGTTACAGTGCAGAATATACTCAGAAACATCTCTCTGTGTACCTAAACTTAGTGGAAGTTATCCAAGAAGCTCCACTTCTAATTGACCCCTTTGGTAATTGAATTTCAGCTAAGTTTCTGATTGTATTTTTTAGTTGCTGTGGTGCTGGGACAGCTGCAGACACAGACATGACAACCCAGCTCATTTCTTCCAATTTGGAGCTCCACTCTCTCTCCACTGGCCGCCTTCCCAGGGTTGTGACTGCCAATCGGATGCTGAAACAGATGCTTTTCAGGTAAGGTTCCAGGTGGGGATTTGTTTCTTTTTTTTTTTGGTAATTTTATTTAAATTCAATTATAGTGTGTTATTAGTTTCAGAGGTAGAGTTCAGTGATTCATCAGTTGCATATAACACCCAGTGCTCATTACGTCTTGTGCCCTCCTTAATGCCCATCACCCAGTTGCCCCATCCCCCTACCCACCACCATTCCGGCAACCCTCAGTTTATTTCCTAGAGTTAAGAGTCTCTAATGGTGTCTGCCTCCTCTCTGATTTTGTCTTATTCTAGTTTTCCCTCCCTTCCCCTATGATCCTCTCTTTTGTTTCTTAAATTCCATGTGAGTGAAATCATAATTGTCTTTCTGATTGACTTATTTCACTTAGCATAATACCCTCTAGTTCCATCCACGTCATTGCAAATGGTAAGATTTTTTTTTTTTTTTTTTGATGGCTGAGTAATATCCCATTGTATCCCACATCTTTTTTATCCAGTCATCTGTCGATGGACATCTGGGTTCTTTCCATAGTGTGGGTACTGTGGACATTGCTGCTATAAACATTGGGGTGGAGGTGCTGCTTCGGATCACTATATTTGTTACAGGATGGGGATTTCTGTAGTATCTTTTTCTCCTATCTTAGATTTTCAGCTGAGGGGATCCTGGAAGCTAGAGAAAAAGTATTCAGAAATACACATTTTATTCTAGAAGTCAGTTGTTACCATTTTAACAACAGAAGGCTTTTGATGATGTATTTGAATTTTGGGGATCTAGTTTTGTTTTTTTTTTAAAGATTTTATTTATTTATTTGACAGAGAGAGAGATAGCAAGAGCAAGAGAGTGGGAGAGGGAGAAGCGGGTTTCCCGCGGAGCAGGAAGCCCGATGCGGGGCTCCGTCCCAGGACCCTGGGATCACGACCTGAGCCAAAGGCAGACACTCAATGACCGAGCCACCCAGGCGCCCCGGGTTCTGTTTTTTTTTTTCCCCCCCCTATGAATAAATCACATGTGAATGTGACCAACAGTCATTTCTGGAAGCATAGGGCATTACTGGATTAAATTTTTTTTTATTTATAGTAAGAAAGTTAGAACTGGACAGAACCTTTGGTTCATCTTTGAACACACATAGACAAAAACAGTTGTTTTTTGTCCTCCCTCTTTTAGGGGCAAAATAACAGTGAAATGAAGAATTGTATTTGTAGTTGACTCTGAGTGGATATAATAACATTAATATTAAAGCACATGTATTTTTCTCTTTGTGCCAGACTCTGTGCTTAGTTCTTTATGCGTGATCTCATTTTATCCTTTGATAGGCCCCTCTGAGATAGGAGCTGTTAATATCTCCAATATTTTTTTTAAGGGTTCCCAAGTCTTTTTTTTTTTTTTTTTAAGATTTTATTTATTCATTTGACAGAGAGCACAAGTAGGCAGAGCGGCAGGCAGAGGGAGAGGGAGAAGCAGGCTGTCTGCCGAGCAGGGAGCCCGACGAGGGGCTTGATCCCAGGACCCTGAGATTATGACCTGAGCCAAAGGCAGCCACTTAACCGACTGAGCCATCCAGGCACCCCAACATCTCCAATATTTAAGTGAAGCTGAGGTTTACAGAGGTGTAGTTGCTTGCCTGATCTGGCCTTCACACCCTGCTGGCTTCCACCCACAGTGCTTGCTCTTAGTTTGGTCTCCCTTTCATCCTTAATCAGATCATCACTTTACATTTGTGTAGTTCTCCTCTTTTTCAAATTCTAAGTCTGTTTTCTGATTTGCTCCTCGTAGAGAGAAGAGGGGCAGTGTATTAGAGCAGAACTAGGAAATAGCCTGGACATTTAGTGGTGGCTTAGAATATTGGTTTCTCCTTTTGGGACCTGCATTACCTTTAACAGATTCTCTTCTTTTCCTTCTTTGTAGATTTGTAGAATCTATATTCATGGTGCTTTTTTTTTTTTGTAGTTGATTGGAGACCTTTATTATTCTGGTCCTCATCATTCATTAAGCAATCTAAAGAAAACATTTTATCTCCACCCCAAGCAGCAGCAGCTGCAGCCAGGCCTGTGAGATTAGAGGGAAGCAGGAATAGAAAGCCAGGATTGTAAAGTGGCGGCACACAAACCATATTCAGCTTGTAGAGAAATTGTATTTGGGCTCCGTAGTGTTTTTTTAAAAAATAGTGGCCAATAATTATAAATTGGGAGATTGGAATAAAAAATCTGGATTTCTGGCTTTAAAATTTTTTTTTAATTAATTATTTCGTGGCTTCATTTGAAAAAATTCATAAAGAGGTTGGGATAATAGGTGGTAGTAATCTTCTGGAACTGAGTGGCAGATGTTGCCTTTAGAAGGGGGAGCATGTGCTCCTGTCAGTTCCTGCCTGGTTTGACTTCCTTCCGGCCTGGCTCTTGCCTTTCTGTGAGCTTGCTGGTCTTCATCTGTGAATCTAGCATGGCCCTAGGCTCTCAGCAAGTGGATATGAGGCAGTGTAGCTATGCAGCAAGGTCTGTAGCATAGTTCCCACTTTACAACCGAGAAGACCAGGACTTAGAGGAGTCTATGGGCGGGAAGCCTAGTGGTATCTACCTAATGCGTGCTCTGGCTGTACTGAGCCCTTATGTGGGTGATTTCCATGTATTTGTGTGCATGGTCATCATCCTAATCCTGGAGAATTATTGTGTATCAAACAAATTCTCCCAATACAGTGTACGAACTTGTTAAAGCACATCTGTTGTCAAGATTTCTGAAGACATTTGCGAGTTTGATTTTAAATTTAAAGCTCCCTCTGGTGGTTTTTGTGGTGCATTACATTTAAAACAATTTTTAAACTTGTACAATTGTGTTAAATAGCAAATTTTCAACATTTCTTCCAATGTCATTTAAAGCATCTAGCTAAACCTCATAGGTGTTTCTGTGAATCTCTCTTTAGAATGTTTTAGGAATTCTAAATTCACTTTTTTCAGTGTTTCATTATTTTTAGTTTAACATACTTTATAAAAATTAAATTTTATCACAGTTTTGAGAGGAACATTTTGTTTATTTTTATTTTTTTAAAGATTTTATTTATTTATTTGACAGAGAGAGACAGCGAGAGAGGGAACACAAGCAGGGGGAGTGGGAGAGGGAGAAGCAGGCTTCCCGCTGAGCAGGGAGCCTGATGCGGGCGGGGCTCGATCCCCAGGGCTCTGGGATCATGACCTGAGCCGAAGGCAGACGCTTAATGACTGAGCCACCCAGGTGCCCTGAGAGGAACATTTTAAAAATTTAACCAGGATGATTGTGGTTCATTATGTGTCTTCTGATATTTTTGTTGAGTTACATAAAATGTAAACGTGGTATAAGGGAAAAAAAGCATAGGATTTCACTCCCCCCCCTTTTTTAAAGATTTTATTTATTTATTTGAGAGAGGGAGGGAGAGCGAGCACAAGTGTGGTGAAGGGCCGAGAGAGAAGCAGACTGTCCACTGAGCAGGGAGCCCGATGGGGGGCTTGATCCCAGGACCCAGGGATCTTGACCTGAGCAGAAGGCAGATGCTTAACCTACTGAGCCACCTGGGCGTCCCAGGATATAACTTTAGAAGTTTGGTTCAGGTCTCATCTAAAGCACTTAGAGTTGTGTGACCTTGGGCAGTTCATCTTACCTTAGCCTCAGTTTCTTCCCCAATAAGATGAGGATAGTAGTTTCTTTCTTTTTTTTTTTAAAGATATTATTTATTTATTTGAGAGAGAGAAAGTGTGTGTGAGAGAGAGAGCACAAGCAGAGGTTAGGGGCAGAGGGAGAGGGAGAAGCAGGCTCCCCGCTGAGCTGGGAGCCCGATGCGGGGCTCGATCCCAGGACCCTGGGATCATGACCCGAGTTGAAGGCAGATGCTCAACCGACTGAGCCACCCAGGTGCCCTGAGGATAATAGTTTCTGACTCTCTGACTTTTGAGGAGGAAATGAATAAAGAAGTAAGGCTTAAGACAATGCCCAGTACAGGGCCTAATGCACAGTTAGGTCCCCCTAAATTCAGAGGCTGAAAAAGAGAACAAGGTGTATTCATCTTGCTTTTACTGTTCCATTTTTCCCCAAATAATCCATTTCCATGTCTGTGAATCAGTAAGAAAAGGGGGTTTGATAAACAGAAGTGGACATCTTTTGCTTTATGTAAGCAGTACTTTTATTTTACTTTTATGAAGGCTGGATGTAGAAGATGTACGTGTTACTTGTTCCCTCTGAGCATGAGCCTCCTAGTCTAGTCTGATAGAAATCTTTGTGGTCTCTTATTCTGTATTCCAGAAACTCCTTGAAAATGTAGAGCCTCTTTATTTATTATGTTAATTGTGCTTTTATTTTCTATGAAAGTAATGTATATTCATTGTAAAAAATTTGGTAAATACTGAAAAGCCCAAAGAAAAAATGAAAATTTTTCAGTTCAGGGAAAATCATGTTTTGGTCAGGTGTATATACTTCTAGTCTTTTAAGTTGTTGGCTCACTCATTCGTTGAATCCTTCTTTGCTTCCTTCTTTGTTACTAGTACACGTTCTCAGTAAAACCTAAGATAAAATAGGAATAAACTAAAAAAATACAAAAATTATCTGAGTTCGTACCACCCATAAGCAGTTGGTTCTAGCAGGTTACTATATGCCTTTTAAGCTTTTTTCCATTTACTAATACATAGTTTCTCTGTAAAAATGGGATCGTAGTTGTACATTCTATCCTGGAATACAGCCTGATGTTTTCATCTACCAGTGTGTGTTGAATAGTTTCCATTTGGAGCATTTCAAAATGAAAATCACCTTTTAAAAAATTATTGTAAAAGTAATGTGTGATCATTATAAAAATTTCCAACACTGTGGAAATGTGAAAAGAAGGAAGTAAATGTCACCTGTTTTGTTACTTAGACACATACATTGTAAATCTTTGAGACCTGTTTTTCCAGACCTTTTATACTATCACATTTGTATTTACAACAGTGGAATCCTGTGTGTTGTTTTGTAACTGACCCTATTCACATAATAGTATATTGTGAATGTTGTTCCTGTTAGTAGAAGAGCTCAGTGTCCAGAGTTTCTACCTTGAGCTCATAGAGGAGTTCTGGAGACCTGTGACCCTCCTGACATAGTAAAAAATCCGTATGTGCACTTGTTATGAGTCAGGGTTCCACGGTGTTAATCAGTTTTTCAAAGGGGTCTGTGACCTATAAAAGTTAAAGAACCACTGATCAATATCAATTTTTGGTGGTATCACACTATTCCATTCTCTAGATGTACCATAATTTAACCAGTTTTGAACTTTAACAGTATTGCTAGTTTTAAGGTATCATAAGGTATCCCATGAACCCTTTGGAACATAGAACCTTTAGGTACTTGTGTGATTAATTCCTCATGCTGTATTCTAAAATAAATTCCTAGAAATGGAATTATTGAGTCAAAGGTATGCACATTTAACATTTTGATACATATTGCCAAACCCACCCTTGAGAAATGTTGCACTGAGTTGCACTACCATCAGTGGTGTATGAGAAAATATCCTGTGATCTGGATGATGTAGAGCATAGCTGTGTCAGTTGATTTAAATAGTTCTCTGTTTCTACTTTTTTGGCATCATAAATGGTGTTGGAGTAAACATCCTTGTGCATCCATTTCTGCATATTTGTCTGATTATATCCTTAGAATTTGATTCCTGGAAGTAGAATTTCTGGATCTAAAGAATATAATAACTTCCAAAATATCTTAGATTCTTTTAAAAGCATCAAACAAGTTATGTTTTAGCTTGGAAGGAAACTAGCTGATTATTACTGATTTTATTTAAACAGCCTGTCTGGCAGGCAGTTGGTGTAGTGGGTCAGGTCCTGGACTGGGGTGGGAGTGGTGGGTTTGGTGATTCCCACTGCTCATCCCAGAGCCCTGTGAGCTAGTCTTGACCCCGCTACTACCTCATGTAGCTTAGGACCAGTTTCTTTTTTTCTTTCTGTGCCTCTGTTTTCTTTTGAGACTGTTTCTAGAATCCTTTCCTGCTCTTTACTTTTTCACTTATAACTGGAAGATCCTTCCTTCCTTCCTTCCTTTCTTCCTTCCTTCCTTCCTCCTTTTCCTTTCCTTTCCTTTCCTTTCCTTTCCTTTCCTTTCCTTTCCTTCTTTCTTTTGATTTTATTTTTTTAAAGTAATTTCTGTACCCAACTTGGGGCTCAAAACCACAATCCCAAGATCAACAGTTGCGTGCCCTACTGACTGAGCCAGCCAGGCACGCTTGGGATATTCTTTGTGAAAGAGCAGTTTGGTAGTCAGGGATGGGGGAAATAATTGGACTTGACTATTCTGGTTACCAAGAGTGCTCCCTGATGAGTAGTTATGTCTCGACAGTCTACAACAGTTAGGACTTTGATTGGTTCTTGTGTTTATTTGTATCAATTTTAATGATTATATCATTAGGCAAATTCAGTATGTGTTGGTTTCATTTTTCTTTCCAAAGAGCTAAAGGCTCGTGGTGGAGGACTTTAAATCCAGCTTGTTTATTTAGCATAGCAATTCTAATGGTAAAAAATGGAACCAAATACAGGGAAAGCGATCTGTAGAAGTAGAAAACCACCTAGGTGAGGGGTCCAAAGAACAAATACATGCACAATTAAACAGAGGTAGGGTGGGGTGGAGAATATATTCCCATCCCTGTTCCTGAAGAGGCATTGCTTCATCCTGTGGGCAGTAGGAATGTGTTTAGAGGCTATTGTGGAGTTATTTCATCATTCACTTCCCTGCATGTTGAAATATTTTTCTTTTACTCAATGAGAACTCACATCTATGATTATAATTTTGTGAATTTATTTAAAAGAGAAGGTTCACTGACAAATGAGCCATTTTCCTATGAGGCTATGGTGAGGTGAGGTTGAGAATTTGAACAGCTTGAGTTTAGCAGCTCCTCAGTGTTCACTTTGAAAGTAGTTGATTAGTTGATCCCTGAGAGGTGTGATGGGAAGGGTGCTGATAAATTTTGGAGTAAGCCAAGCTCAGTTGTAAGAGATTGGGCTGGCACTTAATGTCTTTGGGTTGCTTTTCTCTAAAGTGAGAACAGTTCTCTCTCTTTTTTTACACCCCTAAAGATTTATTTATTTATTTATTTATTTATTTATTTATTTATTTGAGAGAGAGAGAGAGAGAGAATTTGAAGCGGATTCTGCACTGGAGCCTGATGTGGGGTTCGATCTCATGAGCCTGAAATCATGACCTGAGCCAAATCCAAGAGTCGGACACTTAACCGACTATGCCACCCAGGCGCCCTAAGAACGATTCTCTTTTAAAGGAAGCTGTATGACTGAGGAAATAGGCATGTTGGAGGGCCTCACAGGATTGAGTCTTTATGGGCTGATAGTGGATGTCCCAATTTATGTTCCTTCTGGTCAGCATTTTGTTCCCATCAAAATAGTAACCACTTCATGAAACAGTAGCAGTGTAAGAAAAGCCTTTTGTTGTCTGACTTCTCAAACAGCTTTTGGTTAAGTTACAGTGATGCAATGTAGACTTATTTTTTTTTCTTATACATACTCTGATCACCAGGTATCAAGGTTACATTGGTGCAGCCCTAGTTTTGGGGGGAGTAGATGTTACTGGACCTCACCTCTACAGCATCTATCCTCATGGATCAACTGATAAGTTGCCTTATGTCACCATGGGTGAGTGTAAAATTTCCCTGATGTTTCAGAATCCTCTTATTTACCAAGGTGGTCTCTTAAAGAGCTGGTCTATTTCCTGTTAGAGGAGCCAGGGCAATATAGTGCTTTGATTCATTCTACATATATTTATTGATTTCCTCCTACAGATTAGGCCCTCTTGTAGGTGCTTGGGATACAGCAGTGAACAAAATTTAAAGATTCTTGCCTGCAAGGAGTTTGTATTATAGTGAGAATAGACAGAAAATAGCAACAACTACTATAAATATATTAATGTTAGAAAGTGATAAATACTAGGAGAGAAAAGTAATGCAGGTGATACTGTACTACAGTTATGTAAGATAACTACTTTTGGGGAAAACTGGGTCTTGGATATACAGAAACTCAATGTATTCTTTCTTACATCTGCATGTGAATTTGCCATTATCTCAAAACAAAAAGTTAGAAAAATTAATGCAGGCTAAGGGGACGTCAGAGTGTTGGGGTGGAAGGCAGATTATAATATTAAATAGGATGGTCCAGATAGGTCTTGAGGTGAGGTTTCAGTGGAGGGAAACTAGAGTGGAGGCCTCATAGCAGGAACATGCATATAGGACGTGCATTGAATTTTTCTTTTTTTTTTTTATGCTAGAGTGACGGGGGCCCCTCTTAATTTCTGAGATTAAAGGTATTTTATTCCTTTCTGAACCTTGATTGCCTCACCTGTGGAATGGTGTCAATAGTATTTACTGTATATGCCAGGTTGTAATAATTAGAAGTAATGTATATAAAGAATTTGGCCCTCTGCCTGGCCTGTAATAGTAGTTCCTCTTTTCAGACCAGCTTTTTACCTTGGTACTTTAGTTCTCAATGCTAGACAAGAGTATTTGTTTAAAAAATATTTATTTGAGAGAGAGAGAGCACGCTTGAGAGTGCGCGAGCAGGGGGCTGTGGGAGAAGCAGGGATCATGACCTGAGCCGAGCTTAATCGACTGAGCCATCCAGGCACCCCAAGATTTTTTTTTTTTTAATGACCACCGAGAAAAGGAGAAAATGGGGATTTTCAAATTCTAACTTTTATGTTAAATTTCTGAGTCAGATTGTTTAGGTACAGAAATTTGAACAGGTCATGTATAGCTGGTATTTTTCCAGCTGTTGTTTACCTCTTACATTTTTTGTCTTGGTAAACTTGGCTCTGAAGAGCTAGGAGACTGCTGCCTTGAATAGTTTGGAAATTGCCAGTTTGAGACCTTGCTGTTCCATAGTGTCATCTAGCCTCTTAGAAGGTTTTTATACAACAGATGTTCCCTGTTTGTTGGGGAGAATGATTTACCCCCAGATACCATATGGATGAGTCTTTGTAATTATTTTAAAATGAAGATACTTAAAGTAATTTTAGAATTGTTCTGAACTGCTTTATTCAAATATATTTGTTATCTCCATCAGAGTACTGTTTTTATTTCTCCCTGTCTGATTGATGCCTTTAAATGGTGGGAAGGGTGAAGTAGCTTTTTCTATTTAGTGGTTTCATTTCTTTTTTTTAACTGAAAAAAATTTTACACTAACAGAAAAGTAGCCATAATGTGCAGTGAACAGTCATATATGCTCTTTACTCATATTTGTCAGTGAACATTTTACCACTCTTGCTCTCGCTTGCTCATACATTATTATTGTTCTTATTCTTAGTTTTTTGTGTGGAATCATTTGAGAGTAAGTAGGAAGGAGCAGACACCATTACCTTCCACCTCTAAATTCTTTATAATGTTCTCTTACATAACCTTGATAAAATGATCACATTCAGGAAATTTAATGTCATTACAAAGCAGGTTCTTTTTTTTTTTTTTTAACTTATTTGTCAGAGAGAGAGAGAGAGAGAGCGTGCACAAGCAGGGAGAGTGGCAGGCAGAGGGAGACACAGGCTCCCCGCTGAGCAGGGAGCCCAATGTGGGACTCCATCCCAGGACCCTGGGATCATGACCTGAGCTGAAGGCAGATGCTTAACCAACTGAGCCACCCAGGCGTCCCAAAGCAGGTTCATTTTTAAGAAGGGAAAATTGAATTGGTTTCTTTTGCCTTTGAACTGTAGTAATTTGCCTTTTGAGCACAATCCTGAATTTAGGAAAAGTTGTTGACAGGAGGCCATCAGGTCACCCCACATTGTGTTCTCTCCTGGCCAACAGCAATCTTGCTGTTCCAAGTCTACTGTGAGCCCAGGGTGATGGTTCCACAGCCTTGAGTTCATAGCACGCTTGTGTTTAGAAATCATTGCCCTACACAGTCTAGTTTTGTTATTGTAAAAGACCGGATTAAGGAGGAGCTATCCATAACATTTGATTTTAATACACAAGTAAATAATTATTTTGAGCTTTAGTTTGTTTATCTGTTCATTTATTTATCAACTCTTTCTTGCCTTCTGTGTCTAGGCACTGTGGCAGGCTCCACAGATAGAGATGAATGCGTGGATCCTTGCCCTCAATACCCTCACACTGTAGTGAGGGAGCCAGATGTACAGACTGACAAGGGCAGTAGGTACAAAGGCCAGTGGAGGCCCAGGGGAAGAAGGAATTACATCGAAATGGGAGGATTTCAGGAAAAACTTCACTTCACATGAACGGAGTCTTAAAAGAAGCATAAGTTACTTTTCGTTCATTTATCAAATACTTGTTTAGCATTCACTGTGGGCCAGGCACTGTGCTGCGTGCTGGGAATAGAGTGGTCAGCACAGCACGTGCCCTCAGAACTTACAGCCCCATGTGGGAGACAGGAATTAAAGTAAGTACACATTCGTCCAGAAGAATGCACTGTGCTAAGTGCCCTGGAGAAAAAGAACAGTAATAAGAGAGAGGAACAGGAAGGACTGTGTGGATAATGGCTTTTTGGGACGTCCTTACTGAGCAAGTGACATTAAAACATTTTCTAATGAATTTACAAACATGACAAAACATTCAAGTGGGAATATTACATGAAAAATAAGTGTGTTTCATATCCCACCTCCAAAGTAACCACTCTTAAGTTTATTGTGTTTTTTTCCAGAAAATGTTTTATGAAACACCACATACCTCTGTCAGTCTGTGCCTATTAAAAATACACAAGTGAAGTCATACTGTGCACACTTTTCCTTTATTGTTAACTCGTTTTGAAGAAGTTCTTTACCAGCACATGTAGATCTGTATTGTAATAACAGTTACATAGAAATGCGTTATATGGCTGTATCATGATTTACTGACCCATTCTAGTGATGAATATTTTGGTTATCAAATTTTTGCAACAAATGTGTCTTGGTTTCCTTAGGTAAGTACAGACTTCAGATAAATTCCTAGTGGAATATCAGGATTAGGGTGTGTGTGTGTGTGTGTGTGTGTTGTTCAGAATTCTCTGTTGCAAAGCAGTAGAATTAATGATTTAAGAAAAGAGGACTGTATTGTAAAGGCTAGTAGGTGGCTCACGGAATAGCTGGGAGGGCAAACGCTGGCCATGGGGCCCAGAGCAGTGTCGGAACTCATGCTGCAGAGTAGGCCATGGCAGGCGAGTACAGTGTTCCAGACTGCAGTCCTGCTCCAGCTGGAGCTGGCTCACTGCGGGGGTGCTGGGGCCTGGTGCTGGGGCCTGCTCAGCCTCCCTGACGGTTTCAGGAACCCAGTCTTCCTGCCATCCCTTTCACCACTGCCAGAGTGTTCCTTATAGGGGAGGGTGATTGGTGAAGCTCAGTCATTCACTCCTAAAGTGCTGGGATTCCCCAGACATAGGAAGGAAGTCATACTATATATACTGCCACTGGTCAGCCCAAGAAAGTGACAGAGGGCTACGTAGTGCATTCTGCTTTTTGAGAGCTATTGCCACGTTGCCCTCCAGAAAGATTGTACTAGCTTATATTTCTACCAAGAGAATATGAGAATGCCTTTCTCTTAACAACCTTACCAACACTGGGTATTTGTGCCAGTCTGATGGGTGAAAGATGGGGAGAGGGAACACGTAAGCTGAGACCTGAAAGGTAGGTAGGAATTAGCCAGGAATTCCTGGGTTCTGCTCCCTGTCCCCAGGGAACGACTTCAGGCCCTATGTGCATGAGGGTCTGGTGTGGCTGAGGAACTGAAGGGCCGGAGTTTGTTGGTTGGGTGAGGCCAGTGCACTGGGTGGGGGGAGTGTTCAATTCAGGGGTGCAGCCGAAGCAAAGGCGTTCTGGAGGGTGGAGCAGAGGTATGACTAGAAAGCGAGGCTAGAGAGGGTCCTAGTGATACAGGCCCAGTTGTTTGGATTTTGTCCTTGAGGTTCCCGTCTAAAGTTTTCATGCCAGAGAAGGATGGGATGAGATTTGCTTGTTAGAGCAATCTTATGGCTGTAGGAAGGAGGATTGGCATGGGGGAGGCAGAGAGGGAGATTGCGTCTGGCCAGAAATACTGAGGGTGTGGCTGGGTCCCATGACAATAGGGATGGCTCCTGTTATAGAGAGCACTTGGAAATGAGCCAGCCATTAGGCCAGATCCCAGGAGTCCTCTTCTGACTTTTCAGTATCAGTCCCTTCCGGAGTCTTGACTACAGAGGCACAGTTAACTCCTTCACCTGGGGCCATTGCCCTTCCAGTTGGCTCTAGGCCTCTTTTCCTGTTTTGTTTCCTGTTCCTCCCCTAGGCCTTTGTGGCAACAGTGGCACTTGTACCTCTCACCCTCCCCTGGGCAGGCTCCTACAGAAAGGCCTTTGCTGCCCCAAGTGTTCCTGCTCCTCAGCTGGGCTCTAGCCCAGAAGCCATTCCCTCGTGACTGCCCCAGGCTGAGTTAGCAGGTCCCTCTCCGGGACATGGGTGTGAAACATGATTCCAGGATTCCCGCCTTGTCTGCACTCCCATTTGCCCCAGCTCTTGTCCCTCCTGCGTGTGTGAACATTTGAGATCTCGGGGAATAGAATCTGTCTTACCTCCGGTCTCAATCTTGTGTGACTTGGTGAATATTTGATGGTGAAATAATTTTCTGGTTTGCCGACTTGCTTGTGTCAAAGAGTATCTGAAACTGAGCCTTAGAAACCTTTGC